GACCGACGGTTCGACCGAGGTTCTCAACCAGGTCATCGAGCAGTATTTGCGTATCCATTGCAATTACCTGCAAGACGACTGGACCCTTCACCTTCCCCTTGCCGAGTTCACTTACAACAACTCGGAAAACACCTCCACTGGCATGACTCCCTTCTTTGCAGTCCATGGCCATCACCCCATTTTTGATCCCTCCATCATCCGTGATCCTTCTGTTGTGCCCTCTGCCGAAGAACGTGTCGACCGACTTCAGACCGTTCTCGAGGATCTCAAGGCCAACCTCCGGGTTGCCCAAGAGTCCTACACTTTGCAGGCCAACAAATCCCGTCTCCCCACTCCCGACATCTCCGTTGGCGACCTCGTTTTTCTTGATCGTCGCCACATCCGCACCCTTCGTCCCTCCAACAAGCTTGATCAGAAAAAGCTTGGCCCCTTTAAAGTTCTTCGCCGCATCAACCCCGTTGCCTTTGAACTTAAACTCCCTTCCACACTCAAAGTCCACCCCGTCTTTCATGTATCCCTCCTTGAACCCCGAACGAAGGACATTGTTCCCGAGTTCACCCAACCCGAACCTCCACCCATTCTTGTTGACTCCCAGGAAGAGTTTGAGGTCGAGACTGTTCTCGATTCTCGGCTCTTCCGTGGTCGCTTACAGTACTTGGTTCAGTGGAAGGGCTATTCCGAGACTGACCGGTCTTGGGAGCCCGCTGCCAATGTTTCCCACGCCACTGATCTTGTTGCTGACTTCCACCTTCGCTATCCCTCAAAGCCGAAGGCGACGCCCGGAGTTCGTCGCTAAGGAAGGGGATGATGTTAGGGATAGCTTCTGCTTGTTCTCCACTTTGACTGCACACTTGGCTATTCTTTTGCCTTTCTGTTTGTTTGTGTGTAGCTTTGCAGTTCCCCTCCGATTTTCCGCCTTTTGCCTGCCATTTCCGCTCCTTCCGCACTTCCGTTTTCCCCGCGCTGCTCCGCTTCCTTTGTCTTCTTCGCACGCGCCGGTTTGTTTGTGCACGCGCCTTGCTGCGATTGGTTGCAATTCGGCTGCCGGTCATGTGTCCCACCACCGGTGACTCATGACCTGCCTGACCGCCCCGATCTCTTGTTCATCTCGCATGCATTTGCCCCAACCTTATACTTGACCAATCCGCTTCTTGGACGTTGAGTCACATTGCTTCGCCTTTGCACGTTTCTCCTGCCAGGTGCTTCGCTTTTGCTTGCGCCTCTCTCGCTTTGGTTCTCTGCCTGTCTCGGTGGTCCTTCTCGGCCCTCGTTCGTGCATCGCCCCCTTCGCCCTGCTCGATCGCCCACTTTTCCCTCCCTTGGCCGCCCTTCGCTGCCAAGTCCGGACTTGTCTATAAATAGCCTGACCCCCGCGATGTGTAGTCGAACCTCAGCGTTCAAAATAGGACTAAATAAAGTGCCTTCTACTTTATTCTCTGAGTGTTCCTCACGTCTCATTTCGAGACAAGTCTTATCTTGAACGGATCTTTGCTTCCCTCGCTCCCTCTCCGAGTCCACTTCGGACTCTACCCTTGCTTTCCCTGAGCTCACTTCGAGCTCACTTCTTCTTTTGCCGTTGAGTCCCCTTTGGACTCTAACATCGCCACAGCGGATGCCCTCGACGTACAGCCAGTCCATGTTGGTGACGGCCTCCCTGAACTTGTCGTTCCGGAGCTCAGAGTTGGCGACCGTCCCGGGGACAAGGACTGGCTGGCGGTGCTGGTTGGGCTGGATCGGCTTGGAGGAGCCTGGCATTCGGCCGGTGGTCAGCATCCTCTTCCATTCGTCGAGCTGGCTGGCCTCGGACATGCGGCCGACACGGCTCTCGGCCTCCCGAACGTTCTTCAAGAGAGCGGCCTTGTACGAGGGAGACGGGGCGGAAACAGGGGCAGAGCCAGGGAGGGAGCCGGAGGACTGGGTCTTGGAACCGGGGGACTGGGTCTTGGGGGTGGCAGTCTTGTTGGCAACAGACTTGCGGAGCTGCTCCGTGGCACGGCTGATTGCCACATTGGACTTGGCGATCTTCTGGACCATGGCCTTGGTGGCAGCATCCATGTTGTCGGCCACGAGTGCCTCGAACAGGATGGACTGCACCCGGTCAGCCTCTCGCTTGAGGATAGCGAGGGCCTCCTCGGGTTTCATCGCAGGGACGGGAGCCTGGGACGGAGGAGGGGTCTTGGCCTTGACGACGGGTCGGGGCGGAAGGACGGGCCTGGCCTTGGGGACAGGGGACGCAGTGCCAACAGCATCAACAGCTCGACGAGCTGGATCGACGGGGTCAGCAGTGGAAGCAGGGGCTGCTCGAGGGGCGCCTTCAGAGGCACCACGGGGGACGGCGCGCTGCTTGTCCATGGTCTTGAGGCCGCACTTGGTGTGGAAGTTCTCCTTGAACTTGTCCGAGAACGCATCCACAAACAGCTTGCGGGACTCCTTGGTGGTGCGGCTCATGTGGGCCCAGAACTGGAAGGCCGACATCTGGCCGGGGCAGGGTCCGTCCTCGAGGGCCTGGGGACACTTGAGCTGGAGCTCGTCCTTGCCGTGCTTGACGACGATCCAGGGATCGGCCGAGGCGAGCTTGCACTTGCGGCACAGGACAGTGCACTGCAGCTTGGCGGTCACGGCCATCCACAGCTGGTTGTTCATCTTGGTGACGTCGATGATCTGGGTTGCAGCCTTCTGATCATCGACGTCGGACGAGGCGTGCCACTTGCGCCAGAACTCGTCGCGCCAAGGAACCGAGACGACGTCGGCACTGGGCTGGACAACAATGTCCATGGCACAGTGGTCTTGGTGGGGAGCGGCGGAGGAGGACACGGGAGCCAGGGACTCGGCAGGGTGGTCTTGGTCGGCACAGGAGGACGAGGGCTCAGCGTCAGGCTCTTGGTCCGGGCTGAGGTCTTCTTCGACATTGATGTCCTCCAGTTCATCAATGTCGACGGCGGCACGGGCGGCAGCGCGGTCCAAGGGCGGGAACGAAAAGTCGGGTTCGGCCGGGAACCTGAACTCGGGCGGGGCCGGGAGCCTGGACTCGGGCACGGACACGGACGGGAACTCGGACTCGGGGAGACGCTCGTCATGCTCCGGCCTGGGGAGCATGGTCATTGCGTCGGGCAAGGACAGGCGACGCTTGGCGGGGGAGGAAGGGGTGGCCACGGGTCGCTCCTTGCGCTTGAAGATCAAGCTGCCGACAGCGATGGTCGAGGCCGGGAGAAGGGACTGCTGGGGTCTGTCCTTGGACATCGCTCAGCAGTGGGGAAGGGGACAGGGAGTGTGGGAGCGAGGGCGGGGAACTGGAGGGGCAGAGCTGGAACAAACACAGAGGTGAAAGCAGTGTGGTGCAGGCCACACGGTGCAGCAAGAGCAATACAGGTGCAGCAGGAGCAGGACAGGTGCAGCAAGAGCAGGACAGGTGCAGCAAGAGCAGGACAGGTGCAGCAAGAGCAGGACAGGTGCAGCAGGAGCAGGATAGGTGCGGCAGGAGCAGAGAACTCGATGTGCGATGAACCTGTGTTTCACGATCCGATCCCGCGTTGGCGATCCGAAACTCGCATTGGCGATGTCAGTCAAGCTGGTCTTCCTCGCTGCCGTATTTATCGTTTCCCAGTCTGCATCGCCGCCAGCGTCAACGATCGTGGGAATCGCCCCAACCAGACTTATCTGCCATCGTGATCGACCATCGTGATCAACGTCACAGTCTGCGCACCGATATCGCACGAATCAGCATCGACGATGACCAATACCCTCCCCATCCATGGCCAAACCTTACGCATCCACGATGCATGGATGATGCAATTCACATCCCATGACACCCCAGACGCAGCTTTCCCACGGCAGATACGCCCTCGGATACCCCAATCTGAGTCGGTTTGGGGGAGATACGAACCCGATGATCGGAGTGTGAGGTCGGAATGGCATGTGGGATGCCCCATCAGACTCATCATCCATGAGACAAGTGCATGGAGATGCCATGATCCATCGCCGAGTCTCAACCCTGGCGAAGACCATTGGTTCATCCACCGTTCATGACAAGTCGATTGCCAATGCACCAGTCATGCATGCGTCATCGTGGATGCACTGTCTGCCCCAAAGCATGGAGTTCCCACGATCCCAAGGTCGAGACTACTCCTCAGAGCACCTTGCGTTGACTAGTCATAGAGTCAGTATGATATGCCATTGTGTCCATCCTCTGGCATACCACTACCCCAACCAATGATGGCAGGGTAAGGTGGCATTATCTCGAAGGCCGATTGCGTCATGCATCGGACTCTGGAAGGCATCAGACGCCGTTGAGCACTATGAACTCGGACTTGGACATGGTACCAGGCATCGCGACATCATTCACTGAACACATGCAGGGAAGGACAGTGATGGTGGCAGTATGTGGCGATGGCAAGAGAGTCACACATATCAATCAAGGGTCAGCATTGGTGTTATTGCAGTTATGTAGTGATATCAGTGATGGAAGAGCGGAGGGTACTCAGCGAGTAGTCAAGACACACTCCCACTCAAACCAAAGGCCAACAGGCAGAGCATGTAGAGGGAGAGTGGACAAGTGCTGCACCCTGAGCCTAAACCCTCTAAGCCTAACCAACTCATGCTAAGCCTGCTGTGATACTGTTGCCAAGATGTGGCAGTGGGGTGGACATGATTGATTTTGTACCATCGGCCAAGGCTTGGAGCCTCCCCGACAGTGTGTTTTTATTGAACCAATACATCGACAACAGAAAGAAAAGTCCAGCCATAATCGCAAGAGTAGAATGGTCAAACAAGAGGGTACTGAAGAAACGTACTGAATAAGTTGAATAGTGAATATCAGACTCAAAGAACGGATCAACAACTGGAGACTCAGACCCGGCTACAGAGTTAGTCGGAAACCCAAGTCTGACAACTGGATCTACACTTGAAACCTCGACTCATGAAAACAAACAACCTCAATAGTGTCTCGAATATACAACAAACCGTCGAGAAGAAAGGAATGATACTGTTCTACATCAGCAGCACTAATCAGCTGCCCCAACAGCCTCGGTAGTTTCCGTAGTATCCTGGTGTCCACTGCCCACAACTCGTTCAAGCCCTTTGAAGGACCTGGTTCCCCCGGGACTGGTCTTCTCAATAAAGTGAGGGAGTAGCTTCTTGTGGCTGCTCAAAATCGGACCAATCACCAACTTCAATTGGTGTTCAGTGAGGTTATGGCCCGGTCGAGCAGCGTGCTTGGAAGTGATTGTCCTGGCAATCTCGTCGGTGTTGGTAGCGTCCTTTCCATTGTCCCTGAACCACTGATAGAATTCCATGGAGAGTGCAGGAAGCATGATGATGAAGTCCTTATGGTCGTAGCCTTCAGATTGAGGTTGGTGGAGAATGAAGGTTGACTCAATGAACTCGGCCACACTATCAGTGCTGGGACCCATATCTTGGATCGCCTTCTCGTTCATGATCGGCGGCCTTGTCCTCAGCAACGAGCCGCCGCTGCTGTACTTGGGGTACCATTGGCACATGAGACAGTGCATCGCATTTTTGTACTCCTGTCGCTCCATAATACTTCCCAGAGTCTCGTCCTTCATAAACACAGGTGCTCCAGGATATTTCTGCTGATAAGCGCGATATTGATCCTGGTTCATGGCAAACTTTGAGCGATAGGGATTGAATACGACTCGTCGATACACTGCATCGTACTTGGTCAAGTGGGCCAGGTCGATGTCTTCAGGGTTGCACATGATCATGAACTTGATCCTGAGTTCCTTTGAACTATGACCCTGGTAGACGTCGCGAAAGCCGACCTCGTCGCCGCCGACAAGGTTCTTGATGCGCATTGTATTCAATGGTCGAGGCCTGTTTCCCTTCCGCTCAAGCTCGGACACATACACAAATCGCGCATTCGAGATCGATGCCACCTCTGGCGTCGCCGTCGAGCTGCTGTTGGAGCTTGTGAACAGGTAGCTGCTGGGCAGCATTTTAGTATAAGCGGAGCCCAGAGTCATTCGAAGAATCTTGATGATCAGGGACTTGCCATTGGATGAATCGCCGATACCGAGGACGAGGAACTGTTCATCATTGGATCCATCCAGCAGGCTGGCAAAGTAGCGCATGTTCCAGTCGAACTGTGCTGGATCCGTAAAGATGGTTCGGATGATGTCGGTGAGGTGGTCCATGGCCTTCAGCACCTCGGCAGTATTTTGATCGTTGAAGTAGGCATTGGACCACAGAGTGAAGTAGTCATTGGGACGGCTTGGACGGAAGGTCATTGTGGTCAAATCCAGAGTCCCGTCCCTGGTGACGTGGATGTACGGGTCCTTGTTGCACTTGCTCATGAACTCGTTATACTTGACCGAGAGACTATTGGAACAACCACCGTTGACCAGGTGCCCGACAAAGCCAGAGTCCACCATTTTCTGCTTCATGCGTTCGAGGTGGCTGACGGTGGCAGTGGCGTGGGGGAGGTCACGTCCTTCTTGGTTGGAGTACCAATCCAGGGCCCTCTTGAACACTTGTTTGAGGTAGTCGAGAATGGTGTTGTTGAGTTCACTGTTCCCAGTGGACCATTCCCAGACGACCCCGTTGAAGTGGTACCAATTGCCAGGGCGCTCGCGATCGTGGATCCAAGTTTCGCCGAACACAAAGACAATAAAATCCAGCAGCTCTGCGTCGCCCGTTGAGTTGGTCAGGTACTCTTTGAAGAGCCGCGCGGCATCAGGGCCGATATCCGAAAGGTACGGAGTGGGGTCTGCGAGGTGGGCCGTGCTTTTGACCTTGTCGTTTTCAGGAACGCCAGAATATTGGTTATGAACATATTGGAAGTTCACTTGTCCAATGAACTGGCTGAAGCTTCTCGATGGTTGGATCTTGAGGAAGCGGTCGATTGGATAACGCCGCATGCCACTCGGATCTTCGCAGTTGCAGTGAGAGCATTTGAATCGGAATCCATCCGCGGTGATAGATCCATGCAAAGCAACACTGGAGCTTTGACAGAAAACGCAGTCACTCTGCAGGACAACGCTAAAACCCATGTGATCCGATTGGGGTCGAAACTCGAGGATCTCCGAGCCGCTGTAGACATTGTTGAGAATATGCTGGACATCAAGCTTCATGGCTTCCATTTGGTGGTCCAGATCGACAGTCGACTCGGACAGCTTGCGATGCCACAAGGCCAGTGAGCTGGCTGATTCGGAGTTCAGGGTCCCGGAGGTGACTGGACAGTGATCCGATTGAACGGTGTACGTCGATTTGGTTTTCAAGTACACCAATGTATGGGTGGAGACGATGTCGTCAAGACCCGGATCTTCGCAAATCGTGCATCCCTTGCTGCGAACAATGAGCTTTCCCGAAGCCAAGAACTCCATCGACAATAGATCGATGGGCTTGATCATGAAAGGAACCGATCGTAGGGCACGAGAGAGTTTGACGTTTTTCTCGTCGCTCAAACAGGCCTTCATGCTGCTCCATTGGACGTTTGTGTGATGACCAGCATCACAACGGACCAATGAGATTGTCCCGCATGCTCTCGCCCTCCGCACCAATCATGAGTCCCCACGTGTTTGTTTGCCCCCATGCATGAGCACGCGCCGTTGCCACCCGCGTCTACTGGTTTCCTGCCTCCCCCACCGCTCGGCACATGTCCCCGGGCTGTGCCAAGCCTCTCTCGCTTGCACACCAGCCACTCTCGCACCCCCTTCTCGCTTCTCTGTGATGCTCCACCCTTCTCGCCCACTTTTGCCCCTCGACCTTCTCCCGGTCTATAAATAGCCCTGCATGTCTGAGCCTATGTTGAACACCAGTTCGAACAAAACTTGTTCTTTGGTGTTCGGGGCTAAAAGCTAATAAAGCTCATACCAAGCACTTGGTCTTCGTCCTTGCGCTTGTTCACTCCTTACACTTTGTTCGAACTCTCTTCTACTGATACCACCTGCTTGGTATCTTCCGCTCCTAGCCCCGCCCCTTTCCTAGTCCTGTCCGAACCTCAAGCACACTTGTGTCTGAGCCCTCTTCGCTCTCCTGTTCTTGAACCTCCTCGCTTTTTTTTTTTTTCCCAGTCCCAGTCCCAGTCCCGCCATGGATCCTGCCCTCGTGGACCGCCTCCGTGCCTTGGAGGCCGAGCTCGCCGAGCTCCGGACAGCTCGCGATGCTCCTGCCGCTGGGTACAGCGTGCAGATGCCGGACCGTTACGACGGTAACCGGCAAGGGTTCCGGGCATTCGTAAATCAGTGCAAACTGTATATACGAATGCAGCCCCACCGGTTCCCTGCTGACCCGATTAAGGTCGGATTCGTCATTAGTCTGCTCACTGGACCGGCTCTCCAGTGGGCGACTCCGATGCTTGAGATGGGTGATCCCCGACTCAACTCTTTTGGCGATTTCCTAGAACGCTTTTCCAAAGTGTTTGACGACCCTGATCGGGCCAGGACTGCCGAGTCAGTGATCACCACACTGTCTCAGGGCAACCGCCCGTGCGCAGTCTATGCATCCGAGTTCCTTCGTATTGCCGCCGATACGACTTGGAACGACGGTGCAAAGATCTCGTTCTTCCGACTTGGCTTGTCGGATGATGTCAGAGACGAACTTTCGCGAGTTCGCCCTCTGCCACGAGATCTGGAGGAGTACATCGAGCTTTGTAACGAGCTCGATGCACGAATCCGCGAGCGCCGTCAAGAGCGCCGAAGCACGCCTGCCCGCTACCGGTCTTCCCAGTTCGCCTTTGGTTCCGCCTCCGCTGCCGTTCCCGCCATCGCTCCCGCGCCCGTCCTCGCTCCGCCGCACCCCTCCTACATTGTTTCCGAGCCCATGCAAGTGGACTCTGCCGTCTCTGGACCCCTGACCGCCGAGGAGAAACAACGCCGCCGCCGCTTTGGACTCTGCCTGTACTGTGGCAAGAAGGGCCACTTGGTACGAAACTGCCCCGTCAAGTTTGGATCTACCAGAGCTACCGGACCGCCCCCTGGACCTCCCGGCCCGAGGATCATCCGCACCATCGTTTACGAAGATGGAGAAGTGCAAGACTTCAGTTCGGGAAACGACCAGGCCCGGTTCTAAGTGAAGGCCTTGAACCGGAGCCGTGCCCACCGCCTTCCGAAAGTGAAGACATTGGTAAGGTGCCTTTGGTAAGTACTGGGGAAGCAGTGATGTGCGGACAGCTTCGCCTTGCCTCTGGACCGGCGGACACTCTCAGCTCTGGCATAGTACCCGTGGCACCTCTGGTGTCACTGGGAACTGCACCTCATCCACAGGTGCAAATACCTGAGCTGTCCTGCCAACCCTCGGCAAAGTTAACTGTCTGTGCTAGCCGCAACCCTGGTGCCGAAGCTGGTACCGAACCAAAGTCTTGTGTTTCGTCTGTTCGTCGTTGCTCGTTGGTTGTTCCCGTCGCTGTTCGTCTTCCTTCTGGTGATTCTCTGTCGTGCGAAGGACTTGTCGATTCTGGTGCCTCTGGCAACTTTATCGACGAGGACTTTGTTGCTCGACACTCTGTCCCCACCTGCTCCAAGGCTTCGCCCTTGGCAGTGGAAGGCGTGGATGGTAAGCCGCTGTCGTCTGGCCCCATCCTCCGCGAGACTGCTCCACTCGAGGTGATTCTCGGGGACGTCTCGCAACGCCTTCGGTTCGATGTGATCAGGTCTCCACATCAACCACTTATCCTTGGCTTTCCTTGGTTGCGCACCGCCGAGCCCAAGATTGTCTGGTCTCGCGGTCTTCTTTGTCTCCCTCCTTCTGTTGATTCCGACCCCTCTCCATGCACTACTTCTCTTTCGTCTTGCTCCACTTCCTCCAATGTCACTCCCCTTCTTGATGATTCCACTCCTTTGATTGATCTAAGCTCCTCTCCTACACTCCCACCTTCGTCTTCCCCTTCTTGTCTTGTTCCTCCCGAACCCCTTCGCTCTTCCCAAACCCCTTCTTCTGTTGTCAGTTCTCTTTCCCTCCTTGATGTACCTCCTCCTGTTGTTTGTTCTTCGGACATTGTTCAGAATAAAGTAACCGTCGAACATTATTCTGACCTTGTCCACGCCCCTCCTCTCAGCTCGGACGCTCCTCTCCGCGTCTGCAGCATTGATTACCGCTCGATGCGCGAGTCTTTGGATGCATGCAGGCATGGAACGCAACCCCTGACCATCTTTCAGGTCCATGTCCTGCCCACTGACGAGCCGAGCACTGCGACTGTCGAAGTGCCTGCGGAGTACAAGGACTTCCTGTCTGTTTTCTCTAAACAGGAAGCTGACTCCTTGCCTCCGCATCGCCCTTACGACTGCCCCATTGACTTGGAGCCGGGCAAGTCGCCAAAGTTCGGGCCTCTGTACTCACTGTCCGAGCCCGAACTTCACGCTCTGCGTGACTATCTCGACGAGAATCTTGCCAAGGGATTCGTTCGTCCTTCGTCGTCCCCAGCAGGCTCACCAATCCTCTTCGTCAAGAAGAAGGACGGCTCACTTCGTCTTTGCGTTGACTACCGCGCACTGAACGGTATCACGGTAAAGAACCGTTACCCTTTACCGCTGATCGGCGAGCTGCTGGACCGACTTCGAGGCGCGAAGGTGTTCACTAAGCTGGACCTTCGTGGAGCCTACAATCTGCTGCGCATCCGCTCCGGGGACGAGTGGAAGACAGCTTTCCGTACTCGATATGGGCACTTCGAGTACTTGGTGATGCCCTTTGGGCTCACCAACGCGCCAGCGACGTTCCAGCACTTCATCAACGACGTCCTGCGCACCGAGTTGGACCAGTTCGCAATTGCGTATCTTGACGATATCTTGATCTACAGTGCTGATCCGTCGCAGCATGTAGAGCACGTCAAGCAGGTCCTCTCGAAGCTCCGAGCTGCAAAGCTGTATTGCAAGCTGGAGAAGTGCGAGTTCTCCAAAACCTCGGTCTCGTTCCTTGGTTTCATGGTCTCGCCCGAGGGCATCGGTATGGAGCGATCCAAGCTCTCTGCGATCTTGGATTGGCCCATACCGCGCAACATCTCGGATCTTCGATCCTTTGTCGGGTTTGCGAACTTCTATCGACGCTTCATCGATGGATACGCAAAGATCGCGGGGCCCATGACTCGGCTCTTCCGGAAGACGCATGGCTTCCAGTGGTCCCGCGAAGCCGATAAAGCATTCAGATCCTTGAAGGATGCCTTCGTTTCGGAGCCCGTTCTGGTGCATCCGGACCCATCCAAGCCGTTCGTCGTAGAGTCAGATGCGTCGGACTTTGCGCTTGGATGCGTGCTCTCCCAGCGGGGTGCTGATGATCGCCTTCATCCTTGCTCGTTCCATTCGCGGACACTCTCGAATGCTGAACGTAACTACAGCATATACGAGAAAGAGCTGTTGGCGATCAAGGAGGCTTTCGAGGCGTGGCGACACTACCTCGAAGGCGCCCAGCATCCCGTTGCCGTTCTGACCGATCACAAGAACTTGGAGTACCTGGCGACGGCTCGCATCCTAAACCAGCGCCATGCACGGTGGTCCCAGTTCTTGTCTCGGTTCGACATCCGCATCCAGTACCGTCCTGGTGCGAGGAACGGCAAGGCCGATGCCCTGTCTCGTCGCTCGGACTACATCCCTTCGTCGGCCTCCGTGTCGAGGGATCCGCCTCTGCTTCTGTAACGTCCACTACTGGGACGTTGGGGCAAGACGGGGAGGGAGGGGGTACAAGACAAGACAGGACGGGGCAGAACAGGGCGGTGCTAGGCTACTCTAGCGGACGGGTGAGCTCGGGGAGCACTTACGTTTATTCACGATAAAACCGAACTCCAGACAAACGGGGGGAACGGGGGCAACCCGCAGGTATACCCTGCGGTGGCCTGCCTGCGGTGCGTGAAAACGCAAAGCGCAGCACAGGTCACGACCCACTGCGCCGCGCAGTACGCGCAGTACGCGCAGCACAGCGTCGGAGATACCATCTCCTACACTCCCACACTTAAGAAGGCTTCCTGCGAGGAGCCCTGCGTGTGCTCTTTATTTGGGGCTCCTCGAGGTGTTTACCGTATTTACTCAGCTCCTCGGGTGCATGGGACAAGTCCTCCAGTGTTTGCCATGTGTTGCCCGAGTGTGGGTAACCAACCCACTTGACATAAAACCGAAGTGACCCATCAGCCACTTTCTTGTGCCTCACGATCCTTTCGACTTCATATTCTTGAGTATAGTATTGTCCGAGGTCGTCTTCCAGTGGTGCGTCGTCCGGGACACCTTCGTCGGCGTCGGGGAACTGTGCTGGACTGCGGGTCGTGTGGCGACGCAGCTTGGACACATGGAAGACAGGATGGAGCTTGCTTCCAGGTGGCAAGTCCAACAGGTAGTTGAGGGGACTGGGTCGGGCCGCTATCTTGAACGGTCCTCGGTACTTGGGCAACAACTTCTTTGACTGGGCTTCGGGGACCTTGATGTTGTCGGCGTCCAGGTAGACAAGGTCTCCAACTTCAAAGGAGACATCCTGGTGTCGGCGGTCGTAGTACTTC